AAGGAAATGTCTATATATAGGGTTTAGAGACACATGACTGACCTTGTGTCTTGTTTGTGGCGTAAGGAATTTGTGTGGTGATGACTGTCAGTGCGTAGAAGCCCTCCATCACCAGTGGCCGAAGCTCGGTAAAAATGGGATTGGAGCGCAGGAAAGTCGCCAAAAGCGGCACAAACTCCAATTGCAAAACAAATTTGGGTCCGAAAACCGAAAACGCAATGTTCAACAACGACAGCGCACTGCGTAGAACGGCTGTGGCATGGGACACATCGCGTGCAGACGATTGGCTCTGAGGGAGTGTGAGAAATTGATTGGCTCAGTGAGAATAAGGGGATTGGATTGGCTGTGAGATTCCTACTTGAGTTGACCTGTTGCCATACTTCGGTTGCCATGGAGACAAGCATAGATGCGGTGGCGCAGGGAGAACTGGCGGACGAACGGGCAGTAAGAAGCGTATGGAATACTATACACGCCCCAGCACGCGTTAGGCATCGATGTAGAAACCCAAAAATCCCTAAACCCTTAAACCGTTAGGTCTGAAGAAAAACTCTCAGCTCAACAATGGATTGCTTGTGGGAGAGGCGAATACACACCCTGAACCATAATCGGGTCATGCCGATGAACAAAATGAGTCAGGCTTTGCACCGGCCTGTACTTTTGTAGTTCTGATTGTATGTACATCTGTGCCATTGGGTATTGCACAGGAGCGTGTGCGTGCACTCACAGGCTACTACCCATTGTCTCTGAGTTGGCAGAGGGGTAGCAACAACACACAAGCACACACCTCACATACACAACCACACACCTCACATACACAACCACACACCTCACATACATAACCACACACCTCACATACACAACCACACACCTCACATACACAACCACACACCTCACATTCACAACCACACACCTCACATACACAACCACACACCTCACATACACAACCACACACCTCACATACACAACCACACACCTCCCATACACAACCACACACCTCACATACACAACCGCACACCTCACATACGCAACTACACACCTCCAGGGCACTCTTCATGGCTACTATCTCCGCCTGTGTAAACTGCAGCAGCTCATTGCTGATCTCCATGAGGGAGGCACGAAGTTCCTTGCGCCGTTGCGGTGGGAGTACACACGCCCCATCCACCATCACATCCTCCA